ATTTACTAGGTAGATGCTATGAAACATAGGTCAAAAGAATTTAAGCCTCAAATCAAGAGGAGAAACCAAATTAAAGAGGTAAAATAGATATGTTGTGATGGCTAAACGAGTTTTTAACGGACGAACCACTTATCCTAGTGGTAGTCAAATTTTCTATGTTAACGAAAGAAGTATTGATTCATGGAAAATTCAAAACTGGATTAATCAAATTATTGCCCATCTGAAGCTTTAACAGTTTCCATCCCAAAAGCACTACGTTGGCTTGGCGGCCAAGAATAAATCAAGCCAATTTTTGATACTGTTCTGATGAGAATCGTATTCCAGTGAGGGCGCTCTACAGACACCAGAACAAATAGCAGTCAGTACGGAGAACTTCTAGGCTATAAGGCGAGTGAGGCAATAATCAATGTACTAAATTATTGTCGGTAGCGATCCCCATTAATGGTTTCACCCAGTTTAAGGAGCTCATAATTCAGCACGCCCTTCTAATCCCATCAAATAGAGAGCATTATCATATGACACCCAATTTCACTGCTTTTAAATATTTCCGGCTGATTTTCAACGTTTTAAAAAGGCTGCAAGAGTAACTACCAAAGATTCTGCAAGCTCGACTTGTGTTTGGCAACAATCTTCAGCGAGTAATACTTCCAGTTCCTCTTCTTCAAAATTTTTTGACCGCTGAGGACTTTCTTGGTCTTTCAAGCTAAAATCCCCACTTTTAAATCTTATAAACCACTTTTCGCACGTTCGCTTAGCTAGAGCATGTTCACCATGAACCTTCCATCAAAATATGATGATTTTTGGCTGAGGTTTTCTTCACTTTTTCAACAATGGAATAATAATCAAGTTACTTGGCAAACCGCACGAATATAATTATAGAGCCACAAAATATAATATGTTTTTTATTGGCATAGAGAGACATCAGTTCAACGGAACGTCGCGACAAATATAAATTTTTCACTGTATTGAAATTCTGTAACCGCTATTGGACGTAATGCACCAAACATTGGCATAATTTTAAGTTCAAGAGCCGGTCAATCAGTTGACAGTACAGTATATTGCGAAAAACACTGCAAACATGAGATTTTCAACACAACAACACACAGATAATCATAACATACTTTTGTATGTACGAATCCGAAGATTTTTACAAAGGCCTACTTTCCCTACTTACTAAATATACGACTTTGTTAACGAACAAAATGGCTAATTAAATTTACTTTGTGATATATGTGTATATACTTTGTATGTACCAGTATAAGCACACATTGCAGTGGGACATGTATTTACCTAACTACACATGTATGTATGAGTAAGCGACTATGCTGCCACAAATGCATATACTCTTAGCTGGTCATATAGGCAAATGCATAAATATTGCATGCAACATAATGCGCAACATGATTTTCTGCAATTTTTGTAGCTGTGCTTGACCAGCAACAACAAAATACCGTCTTCTGCTGCGTAAGCCGATTCGCTTTTCTTTTGTGTTTATTATTTTCTAGTTTTTTTTCTTCCTCATTGCGCAAGCGTAAACGTCAATCGGGTCTTTCTTCTCTTATCTCGGCAACGCTGGTTTTCATAACTATTCAGCCGACTTTCTTTCCCCATCTATTCGACTACAGCTCATATTTCTTTGTGATCTTCCTACTATACTCATAATGCACAAACTATGCATGTATGTATATTTGTACATAGGTAGATGCGTATGGTACAATACAATTTAAATTTTATTGACCATGTCAGTTTGCATGGTTCATAGATCGCCAATTCGACAAATGAGCGCAAAATAAATTTTTTTTTAAATATGCTTCGTTAGTGCGAATACTTAATTACATGGTACTACGTTAGGGTGTGCTATTTTTCATAGGTGGTACAATACTTAGGAATTGATACTGATGATGCATAATTTAATTTCATTAAGGTGTTAGGTCAGTTCACACTAAAATTTTCTAAAATTGGTCCACAAATAGGTGATCCTTGTGATATTCGAATTCCTAAAATCCCTCAAAGTTTTACTAACATAGCTTAATCGAAAAACTTTCATTTAAAATGTTCGTAACATACTTGTATGTAGTATATTATTCGTGTCCTTTGTTGAAGTACGAGTATCTTCGCATGTTTTAGAAAGCTCTTATACAGGTTGAACCAACAGTCCATTTATAAAATCTGATCAAATTTGCCCCGGAAACTGAACGCGCAAACCGATGCGGTACAAATTTTTCTCCTAGATTGGTACAATATTTTCTTAGATTCGTAGGAAGGTTGATCCCCATAAGTCAATTAGTTTGTGTTTGGCAGGTGTTTGTATATGAAGTGAAAAGTTTGACTGGCGATATTTGCCATGAAACACAATTTAACGAGTTGAAATTTTATGTTTGAAATTTTATGTTTCCAATGAAATCAGGACTAAGAAGTCGATGAAAATATTTTAGAAAAGTTTTGGGGAGTTTATTTTATCTCGAACACAAGTACTATATTTAAGCGGTACAAAGACTTAAGTGAATGTAGTGAAGTCATCGAAAATTTGCCTCATGCGAGTTAATAGCGATAACGCCGAAAAAAAAATCGTTGGCTCAGAGAGATGGCAAAGAAATTCAACATTGTATAAGGTGTGCCAATGCAAGACTCGTACCAAAAGACCTAAATCTTTTGAAAAACCGACGTCGAATAGAGGCCCCAAAAGAGATACTTGTTATTCATCAAACAAACACATCATTACTGGTCACGAGACGTGGGTTTACGAATATGACGTCGAGTATGTCCAACAATCTGGCGAATGGCCCTCCAAAAATGAACCGAAACCGAAGAAACGAAAATTTGCTTAATGTACTGAAAACCAGCGCAGCCGAGGCTTATAACAAGTGTATGAAAAGTCGGATTAACCGTTGTCATGTTTGTTTCTCAGGATCCTATTTGAATAAAGATATCTATAAAAATACGTGAAAATTTATTTTTTTTGTCAAAAAATTTTCAAATGGTATATTGAAATAAAATATTACACATCCAAAAACTTATTCGACAAAGCTCGAAAAATTTATGAACAAAAAATTACGGATATAACCTAATGAACTCAAAATTAAAGTTTCCAAAAGCTAACCAGATTCTCTTGATGAAATCAATTAAGATACATATAACGAAAGACCTGTCTAAGTTGAGACCTAGGATTATTGATTAAAAACACGCTCTTATTTTTTACGTATGTATGTATTATCTTAAACGATATTTAATATAGTATAATTTTCATTATTTAAAAATAATATAAAAATTTTTTTAATCAGTATATACATATGTATGTATATTTGCTTAAAGCTACATAAGCATATGAAAAATTTTTAACTAATAAAGACTAACTTTTTTCGACATTTGAAGTAGAATGTTATTCATAGCAAATCTCGCGCAATTAAAGCGCTTACCCTAATATTAGTACAGTAGTGCATTTGCACGTATAACAGCACATAATGTTATTGCTCTAAAAATGCTTTATAAAGCAGATGCGTTGATCTCAATTACGTGATCGCCAATAAGGAAAACTTTTCTACTTTTCTCTCGCCACTTCTATGTGCACACATACACATCTTAAACTTTTTTAATTACATGTGCCGAGCAGCAGAAAACAAAGTAAAGCGAGAAGATGAGCGTAATAGAAATATTAATTGTGTTAATGTCATTAAAGTCAGTGTGCTGAAGACGTGCAGTTGAGATGGTGAAAAAATTAGTTGACTGATATATTCGTAACCATTTTTTGTTTTGTATGTCAAAGCGTGGCAAACTAAATTCGACTACGCAACTATGTAATTGTTTTTCAAATTGGAATTTATGATTTTTTACATTTACATAATGGGGCTACAACATGTTAATATGCATTATAGCAAGAAATTTTATTCAACTCAATATCAAACAAAAATCAGAAATTTATGTAAGCAGGTAGAAAAAGTTTTTTAGTTTAAGGAAACTTATATATAGCTAATACGCTCAGAAACAAATGGATATTGGGGACAATCTACCCATGGCACTTTTTTTTTAGAGAGAACATTACGAAAAAAGTATAGGTACTTAGAAAAAAGGTTAAAAATATCACTGAGCAGTAAAGTCGACTGAGAAGTAGCGCCCTCAATGGTTAGAGACGGCTCCATAACAACAGATGGAATTTTTCAAAAATATCATACACTGCGGCAGCCAAACTAATAGGGCGGAAGCATTTCTTTGCCCACACATTCCGGGCGGTTCTACGGAAGTAGAAAAGGGTTTGTAGAAATCGCTGTTTCTGGGGAAGTTCAATAAAAAAAGGTTCAATCAACTAATCGTCCTTTCCAGGGACAAACTAAGGCAGCTAGTTAGGCTTTATATCCGATTGCCCAGCAAAAACAAGATAGAGGAGTCAGGCTATCGGAGAAATTAATCCAATGAGAGAGTATTTCACATATATTAAACCCTGAAGCTTTGCTAAGCTCCCTTGATACTTGTACAACTGTCATTCTGACATGGTGAAGGTCCTTCTGACTGTAAAATCTTATACAACCCGAAGAAAATTTTCCATTTATTAAAATAATAATTTAGGACTTCTTATTATTTCCTAGAAAGCTAACAAAAGTTTGCGGCCTCTTTTCTTTATTAAATGTTTTAATTTGTTGGATTAGACTTTTTGTTGTAGTTTTTGTATAAAAAAAAACAACAAATCGACTTATTTTACTTATTTATACTTTATTGATTTCACAAATATTATCTACGTTTTGGAAACTACTTAACCCTATATTAAGTATTTTTATAGTTAAAATTCGAACTACCTACCTACTTTGCAAAATCCTCTGGTGCTTTCTTGCTGAATATATTCTGACCGAGATAATATTACCTTAATGAAATTTAACGAATTTATTTACAACATATACATATAAGTGCTGGTGTAATAAGACCTCCTAATCATATAATACTAGGAATATTTCTCTTATCTGAAATCATTCACACAACTCTATCAATACAATAATTGATAAAAGACTCACCTTTGCATTCCAATTTGTTTTGCCATTCGATATGTGTTTGCCACAAACGTTATTATTCTCTCGAGTAGTATTATTATTATTGTTGTTATTGCTGCTGCTGTTGCTATTGCTATTGCTTACACCGTTGGCCCCTCCAGATTTCGAAGATTTTTCCGCTGAGCTGCTCTTGCCATCCGCGCTTGATTTCTGCTTATTCTGAAACAAAAAAGTGAAATTTTTAATTCAGAATTCGGATTTCATAGCAAATTGTTAATTTATATATAATTTTTATGTACGCACATATTGTACGATTATGAATAGTTAACTAATCTACAAACACTCTCAAGAGTGGAAATAAAAGTAAAAGTGAATGTATGAATTAAAATAATTTAATTGTTAGGTGCATAGATAACAAAGTAATTAACCGTTGCACAAATTACGGTACACAAAAGCCCTGCGGAAGTTAATATATGTAAACATCCATATGAGTGTACGCAGCTAACTTAGGTATTTAGTACCGAAGCGAGTAATGATTATAAAACATAAAAGTAATGATAGCTTAGCAAACTGATGAGTGTTGCCACACATGCGCCTGCGCGCGACACCTAAAAGCTTTGTTGATAGCTGAGCTTTAAGCTAAGCATCACCAACAGAAAGAGAAAATGTGTAGAAAAGAAGTTGTTAATTGGAGTATAAACGGCGTTTGCTACTGACCGCGAAATGTTTTCTGACACCTTCAATGCCATTGACCAAGTACAACAAAAAGATCACTGATAACTTTTTGAAGGACATAAATTAATAATATAAAAATTGGACAATATACTCGTAGTAATAAATCGAATTATTTTCCACATCATAATTACTAGTTATGTATGCGTACTATCTGATCAAATTTAACCCGGCCTGATAAAAAAAAAATACATTTTCACGTATTTCAATACAAATATTTATTATCACCTTCAAAATAGGCTTCTTGAGCTAATACACGCATGCCAAAGCTTAATCCAATTTCCCATACTTGTACCCTTGTTATTAACTTGTTCTTCAGTGCTTTAAACAATTTGGTGGATTTTGATGGTTTTTTAGATTTCAGGTGATATTGAATAGTTTTGACGACATATTCATAGACCCACGTCTCGTCATCAATACTGACATTACCAAGCATTTATTGTCGATTTTCAAATACTGTTTCTTTTTAAATGATGCAAGTTTTCGATTATTTGACGATCTTCACTGAATTCTTTGTGCCACCCTAAACAATCTGCAACATTTTCAACGATTCCGTTGCTGTGATTCCATTGGAAACAAAAAATTTTAAGCAAACTCGATGTTCAATTTTTTCCCACGGTCAAAATTGCTAAGAAAACTGTTCGCGTCGTAAATAAATAGGTGACAGACTAATTGACATATGGAGAGTAAACATTGGAGGAAATAAACTAAAAATATTGACTTTCTTGTCGATGATAAAAATAATGTCAGTAGTAAAGTATAGCAGGCCTTACTCACAATGCGGGAATAGCTTAATCCTCAGAAAGGAGTCAGAAAGTACCTGTGTTCAAAAAAAGGTTAAGTAACAAATGGCATTGTAAAAACAAAAATTGTTGTCAAATATTACTCTATAACGGTTTCTTGTCCGAGTGAATGGAGTGAAAGGATAAATACCTCAATAAAAAACGGATGTCGAAGTTCCGATGAAGTTCAACAAAATGCCATCTTATAGCTATTTTAAAGTAAAACTCTTTATCAAAAACAAATTTAAATAAATTAATTAAGTCTATTTGAAACCAGCCAAAGTGATTGCATGTTAAATTCGTACTCACTCTAATCTTAAAACATCTGCGTGCGTGCCAATGCATGTCGAAAACAATGTAATGACCTAACACTGCCGAGATACAGGAAGAAATAAAACAAAAAACAACACAACAACAGGCAAACTAACTGTACACACACGGTTTTAACAAAAAAATAAAATACAAAATGAGCACGCGTTCCAAGACACACATAACAAGGTACAGAACTCCGTTTGTGTGCGCAGCTTTCGTTTTTCACGAAATAAAGGATTTTTTTTATTTTTCAACCAAAAATTCAGTTAAAATACATTCATTGTCATTTTGGTTAAAAATGTTGACACACTTCACTTGTGGTATTTCACTTCTTTGACGCTTTGTTGACACTTTGCTGTGTTGACATGATTTCGTTGCGTGACATTTACGCGTCGCAATGTATTCTAATTGTGTTAATTACATTTATGAACTGTTAAAACGAGTTTTTAACACCTTTAGTACATTAATTATGACCGCTTTGAGTGGCTGACTCAGGCTATCCTAGATTATTAAATAAACAATTTTGAAGATGTGCTGATTTATATTGTAAATATTGGGGCAAGTAAAAAGTAAATGCTAAGTGAAACCTAGAATACACATTATTTGGCATCAAAATGGCAAACAAAAGGAAAGTTGAATATATATTAAAGAACTTAGTAGGTATGTACAGATGTGTTGTATATAAATAATGAAGGTCTGCACATTAAGGAAACGTCACAATAGTAATAAGTAGTTGGAAAAGAATGTGAGTAATTGGAAAAATGTATATCTTGTTTTATGGAAGATTTGCTGTAGTTATTAAATTATTTAAAAAAGCCAAAGAAGGGTTAAGTTCGGGTGTAACTGAACATTTTACACTATCGTAATTTGCAACGATCAAGAAAGCGGAAGTATCATCTGATTTCACCAATTTTCACAGTGTGTAAGAAGCAGCCAGAAAGAATTGTTGTCAGCAAATTTGTGTGATTCAGCTTTAAGAGTTTGTGAAACAGTAGACTTATTAGAGAGAAGGTTCACATCCACTGTTTTAAAAATTTTCAAACTGAAACCCAAATTACAGTATTGTATTTTAATTTATGTCATTGGTTTTATAGTTTTGTACTTAACGGAATTTTGAACTGCATTTTTTATTTAATTTAGCTATTATTTCGTAGTAGCAACTGTAAAAAAGGCAGTTTTGTATCGTTTTTTCTATGTTCTGACTATTCTATATATGTTTTTCTATGTCCTGAGCAAATATAGCATAGTAATGTATATTATTTTTATACCATTAAAAGACCTTTTAAAAAAATCTCAACTTTTTCTAGAGATTTTTTAATTGAAAATTAGCGTTTTTTCCGATATTAAGTCAAGAAAAAATAAATATTTTAAACATTAAAAGTACAGTGTGATTGAGATTTGAGAAGGTAAATTTACACCAAATTTCGTGAAAGACGAAATTTTTTTTAAAATAATAAACCCAAAAACTGGGTTATGTGAATTTTTTACATAAATTTTGAGCTTATGTGAAAAAAGTCTGTATACAATAGTTAGAGATCTTTTCATTACCTACAACATTGTCATTATATAGGGCTTTTGCCGGAAATCGAGATGAGCCATTTTTACCCCTTAAATTCCCCTAATATTCCACCACCTCCCTGCCTTCCTTTTCTTGACCTCACATCCCGTTTCGTTTCCGATAGGTTTCAACCTACTATGATTTTTGTTTTCAAAAATTATCTATCCTGGTCTATTTACTTTTATGAAGTAATTGAATAAATGATATGCAAACATGTACTCATTTCTGCCACCTACTATATATTTTTAAGTTTATACTAATATTTTCATTCAATTTAATTCACTTGTCATCATTACGACAAAACAACTAACATTCGCATCAATTTTGTCATACTCCTCCAGCTACATGGTTAAAAAATCGCCAACGTATTTCATGACAAAAATTAAAGTGTAATAAAAATAGAGAAACAGAGAACTTAATGAAGAAGGCAATTAATTCACATGTGCAATTATTTGCTATGTAATAAAATTAAGAAATACTGTTAAAAAAACAAGAACAAACGTTAACTTCGGTTGCGCCGAAGCTATAATACCCTTCACAAATACAAAGGCCACTTACAAGAACTTGATTCCGAACGTTCAATTTGTATGCGAGCTATATGATATAGTGATCTGATCTGATTTTCAATTTCTATGGACAATAATTTGTTGCCTTAAGCAATAACTCGTGCCTAATTTCGTGAAGATAACTCGTCAAATAAAAAAAATTTCCATGCAAGCACTTTACTCTGATCGTTCAGTTAATATGGCAGCTATATGCTAGAGTCATCCGATCTATACAATTTCTTCGGAGATTAGATTAATGCTTTAAATAATAATACATGCCAAATTTCGTGAAGATACCTCGTCAAATGAAAGAGTTTCCCATACAAACACTTGATTCCGATTATTCAGTTTGTTTGGCAGCTATATGCTATAGTGGTCGGATATCGGCCGTTCCGACAAATGAGCAGCTTCTTTGTTAGAAAAGGACAGGTGCAAAATTTCAGATCGATAGTATAAAAACTGAGGGACTAGTTTGTATATATACAGACAGACGGACAGACGGACAGACAGACAGACGGATATGGCTAAATCAACTCAGATCATCATGCTGATCATTTATGTATTTATATTATAGGGTCTCCGACGTTTCCTTCTGGGTGTTAAAAACTTCGTTGCAAACTTACTATACTCTGTTCAGGGTATAATGATGGGGAATTCACAACAATTATCTTTATTGTGAAATAAAGTGTTGGTGCAATTAAGTACATTACACAGTAAATAATCGTAAATATGTTTCTATTGTAGTAATGTAGGTTTGACAAACAACCGTTACAACGAAAGAAGAATGAAGTAGTTATGATAATAAAAATTGCATTTTTGTCATATTTAAATTTCAATGCGAGAACTTTGCGAAGCTGTTAAAAAAAATTAGTATGTATGTGTAAAAGTACGAAAATACATGACACCAAAATACAAAAATCCAAGTAAATATCTAAAATTAATAAATATACAATGTCAACTTGTAAGTATGTAATTGTGTGTAGCTGCGGTTGCTTGTTGTTGAAATGGCAAGGCCGATAAAAATATCAATCGTTTTTGGTACGCGGCAACAATGCAAAGCAGCAAAAATTATGGTTGACAGAAATAAATGGAGAAACAGCAACAATTTAAATATATGCAATAGCATACATGAATTATTGGTGCGATATAACATAAGTAGTATTTATTTGTAAGTAAGTATTATCTGTAGGTTTGCTTGTGCCCAATTATCTCAAGCAATAGCTGATGCCGCAAACATTTACAATGTCATTAACAATGGCGTTGTAACAATTAATTTAAGTTGTATTTAAA